GCTATACCCCCAGACACAGTCTTTCTGATCAAGGAGACCCATCGAATGTTCTAGCCTAGGCTTCTCCATTTCTAGTTTTTTCCTTTGTTAACCAAATTACCCCAAATGATACACATCTTGGGTCAGGGATTCAGTGTGGCAATCAAGGATCTGAACAATACTCCTGGGTAAATGCAGTCATTAGTGGCACAGCTAAAGGGGCACTAAAGTGCCCCAGTCTCTTACAATGTTCAAAGGAAGCCTGGTTCATTTCCAAATTATACATACTCCACATGCAGGGGGCTCATCCTCACACAGCAGAGGAGACAGGGACACAGCCATGTAATAACCACAAAGCACACCCTGGCAGGTAAGTTGTTTTAATGTATTTCAGGAACTGAGAGCTCTGTATGGAATTCAAAACAAATGCAACCTGCAGAAAGGTAACTAAGGAGGCAAGACAGGAAAACTTTGAAGGGCATAAAATTACAGACAACAAAAGCTGTGAATTAAAAAAGCATATATACTTAAAGATCTGTGTGACATTAGGAACCATCATCACAAAACTTAACTGATTTCAACTGGTGCTCTTTAACATCAAACCTAAAGACCTTTCTTCTTGGGTCAACACAGGTTCACATTTTAATGTTCATTCAATGCTTTTATTTTTACTATTAATTTATTACTATGTCATTAATTAATTTGAGACAGGGTCTCCTGTAGCCAAGGCTGGCCTCAAACTTGCTGTGTAGTCAAGGGTGACCTTGAACTTCTGATCCTCCTGTGTCCACCTCCAAAGTGCTGAGATTACAGGCCTGGGCCACCATGCTCAGTTTATGTGCTGCTTGGGGTGGAAGCCATGGGCTTCCTGCATGCTAGGCAAGCACTTTACCAACTAAGCCAGAGTCCTAGCCTCATCCATTCATCCATTAACTGAGACACAGCTTGTTAAGGCACTCAGATCCCCTTAGAAGCCACAACTTCTATTCACATCACACACACACACACACACACACACACACACACACACACACACACTCCATCCACCTGAAAGTCAGGGGCCAGAGACTATAAAGTGCAAGGATGGCTTGCTTTATTAATGGCTGCAGAGGTCCAATTAGGTGTTCTTTACTGATTGGGGTAGACAGGAAGAGACCAAGACCCCAGCATACATGTGTTAGAGAAATGACTAGTCTGAAACAGAGTACATGTGGTTCAAGTAACTCTCCTATTCTGTACTCCACTGAGCAGGAGCTCCAGCAGAAATACAGATCCTCTGAAGGGCACAAACTGCCCTCTTGGTACATCAGTGACTTCTGGTTCAATCAGAGGCCTCTGGTCCTACCCACCTGAACTCACAAAGCTCAGGTTGTGTTGGATTGACCACACAGAAGGGTGAGATGGAAGACAAAGCCACACAAAGCAAGGCACACAATGACAACAGGGCATCTAAACAAACCAACACGCTGAGATAAGGGAAGAGCTGGGGAACCCTGACAGGCAGGCATTCTACAAAATGGTGATTAGCAAATTGTATGAAAAGGTATCAAAACAGTTTTAAAAAGACTAAAAAGTCAGCTTGTCAGGTGCAAGTCAGGGTCTCCTATGAAGCTGCTCCGAAGTATGTAGTTTTATCTTAGGGGCTAGGTGCCTTTATAGAGGGCAGCAGTAGCTGCCCCTGAAGGATGGACACCCCAGACTAAGGTACAGCCCAACACCACCCCATGGGGACCAGGGTAAGGAAGGACAATTGGTGACTCTCTAAAAGGGTGGAAAGGGTGACAGGCACCTTTTACTTCCAGCACTAGAAGGTTTCTCTGAGCTTACATACTTAAGGCACAAGTCAGTACATCCAAATTTGCACACAGGACATTTGTTAGAGTAGAGATTCTGTTTAGCTGGAGGCCTAAAACACCACTTGAATTAACTGTTGGTGCCTTATTTAAGATTGTCCAGGCCACCTTACATTTAGGGACAGGAAGGAACATTCACATAGCCCAGAATAGGAAGCCCTACCTAACCAGGTGTCTATTGTATATGAAATAGAATAAACTGTGCCAGGCATTCATGTATATTTGGGAATGGGGGCATCATAGGGTCTCACTGTGTTGCCCAAGCTGGCCTGGGTCTCCCTGGCTTAGGAGTTCCTCTGATCTTAACCTTTCTGGTGTCTGGATGGTAGGGACGTGCCTTAGCAGTTGGCTGCTCTATGCAGATGCCAAACACTAAGAGGACAAGACAAACAAAGGCCCCTGAGCTTCCTGCTCCCCCTTCTATCTCTTATTGTGTTTCTGCCTTACTCAAACAGGTTCCCCCCCCAAAAAAAAAAAACTTACAATAAATACAAGGTAAAACTGTAATTCTTTATAAAGGAAAAGATGCAAAGTCCAATTCAAAGCCTGCCAGAATTATTCCAACAGCTACCTGCTTGGGGTCAGCTGGAAGCTTTCTGTCCTAGTGGGAACCTGTTTCCTTTTATTCTTGCATAAAATTTTCAATTAAAGCCTCAGGTAACAAAAACCTGGTCCAGGGACTGCTGCTGGGCTCTGAGTCTTTCTACTGATCCCACCAAGCCAAAAACCCTTTCTCAGCAGAAGGCAATGAGAAACTATGAGAAAAAGCAGTCCACAGTGAAACTTACAGTCCAGCCATCCTTTTAAGGGAAAGCTCTCAGTGGCCACAGTAGCAGATTCCAAACCTAAGTTACTAACCCCACTGATTTTGCTGGAGGGACATTGTGGCTAACCCACAAGGTACCAAATGGAATGGAGGCCATGTCCTGTCATGGGGCAAACACCAGCAATGAGTAATGGCAGAGCTGCCCATAGGCTCAGATCAGTGGCTTTCCTCTTTCCAGGGTCAGAGCAGTCCTGCTCTGTAAGCCATTCATGGATGCTTTCCCAAGGCTGCCCAATTCCTGTGTGTTCAAAATCTGTGAGGAGGCCACACTTCTGTGCCTTCTGAAAGGTTTTCAAATAATAAAGTTTTCTTGCAAGGGGGATGGATACACTATCCTGGAGTTCAGTACTGGGGAGGGGCGATGAGGTGGAGTTTCAAAGTCAAAGTTTGGAAATGATGGAAGTGAACAGTTAGTTCGAGACTTCTCAGAGCCTTTAATACACAGAAGAGCACAAAGCTCCCTGGTCATTTGTCTGCACACCTTGCAGAAGCTTTCAACTGTCTGAGTCCCTAGGGACTTGTGCACACAGTAACTGACTAGATATGCAGACTGCTTATAGGACAGCAATGGAGGCCAGTGACTCTGAAGCCTTCAGTCCTCAGGCCAGTCTCCCCTCTCCCAGATTACTGCAGAAGCAGACTGACCAGAACCCCAGGTTTGGAGGGAAAGAAGTGCAGAAGAGAAAAAGTGAACTGATAATCTGGGCATGATAGCTGTCTTAGTTAGGGTTTCCATTGCTGTGAAGAGACACCATGACTATGACAACTCTTACACAGGAAAATGTTTAATTGAGTTGATGGCTTACAGTGCAGAGGTTCTGCCCGCCCATTATCATCATAGTGGGACATGGCAGCATACAGGAAGACATGGTGCTGCAGAGGTAGCTGAGAGTTCTACATCTTGCACAGGCAACAGGAAGTGATCTGAGACATTGGACCATATCTAGAGGATATATGAACCTTCAAAGCCCGCCTGTACAATGACACACTTCCTCCAGCAAGAACATATCCTCTTCAACAAGGCCACATCTCCTAATAATGCCACTTCCTTTGGGGGCCAATTTATTTCTAACAATCACAGTAGCAAATCCTTAATATTACAGCATTTGGGAGGTAAAGGCAGGAGGATCAAGTGTTTAATTCCAGCCTAGGCTACAAGAAACCCTGTCTCAAAAAACAAAACAAAACAAAACAAACAAACAAGTGAGCTGAGGTTTTGCTTCTGACACAGTGTGAACAATGTCTTGAGCTTTCTAACCAGCGGTACAGATCACTAATGCCTGCCTGGGCTTCAGAGTGCTCCCAGGAATGGCATTTCTTGGAAATCATCACAGGGCAGCAGACTTTGATGTGTCACCAAGACCGAGAGAAGAAACCATCCCCTGTGGGTCTGGAGAGGCATTCCCCTGACACTGTCCAGTAAAACATGAGGTGTGGACAGATGAAAGCACCAAAGAGTCTAACTGGGTATGATGGCTGTGCCTGTGATCCCAGCATTCAGGAGGCTGAGGCAGGAAGATCACCGTGAGTTTGATGATCGCTTGGGCTACAGTGTGTGACCCTGTTTCAAAGACAGAGGGAAAAGAATTGAGAAAGAAAATCTTCTCAGCATGGCAAAACCACTTGGCAAATCAGTGAGACCAGGACAGTCACTAGAGCTGGGGAAGGAGCTCAGCCACCTTCTTGGGGACCAGTGCACTCATTTGTGTAGTGCTCCCGATGGCTGCACCAGCCCAGAGAAACATCTGGAAGTGCTACAGGACTGCGTTTTCATTTCTGAGGAAACAAATGGTTGACTTGAGGAGTTCACTGCAAGAGTGACAAGAGGTGGGCAGCTCACACTACAGAGTAGAGCTGAAACACTTTTGTACTACTTTTCCCACCTTTCTTTCTTAATGACATATATAGAACTCACAAAGATTACCAGCCAGGGAAGACGACACTATTCAGGAAAAGAATCGGCAGCATGGAATCTTCAGCAAGAAAATTAAGAGTTCCTGGGTCTCGCCTGCCCGTCAGGGAGCTTGGGGTCCCCATGTCTTTAAATGCAGAACAGAGATGCATGCTCTTGCCTGAGACAACCGAATGCAGAATGCAGCTGACTCACAGAACTCAAGTCTCTGGACAGGCCTCCTCAGCCCTTCAGCATGGCTTGGGTGTCTGTGCAAAAGCTTCAGCTACGTTTGGGGGTGGTAACTTCACTACAAAAATTTCCACATAACCTATGAGCCAGCTACTGTTGGTGGGAACAGTCATGGGGACTTTCAGGGGTGTGTGGCCAGGGGAAGAAGGCCTGTGCAGACATGAGGGCCCAAGTGTAAGTATTCAAACAAGATAATATGTAAAGTTGTAAAGAACATTTAATTTTTTTTACTGTGATATCATAGAAATACCAGGAATCAAAAAAGTACAAAAAGCCGCTGGGGAGTAAGTGCTATGCTTGTGGCCACTCTGCCAGAGCCTCGGTGTCACTGACCTCGGTCCTGGCGCTTGTCCTTGCTCCTCTTCTTCTTCTCTTCCAGCCTCGGATTGAGAGCACACACACAGGCTGACACGCCTGCAATGGCGTTGGGGAGGTCAGGACCCCTGCTCCATTTGTCGGCCTCATGGTCATACACCTGCACAGCCCTGGAGAAGGCTGTGCTCTCCCAGCTGTAGCCACCCAGGATGTAGATGCGGCCCTGCCACACAGCCACGCCTGACTCACTGTTGGCCTGCAGCAGTGGCGCCACACGAGTCCACTGGTTGCACTGTGGGCTGTAAGCCTCCACGCCCAGCACGTCAAAGCGCTCCATGGACTCCATGTGGTCATCACTGCCCCCAATGGAATAGATGCTGTCACCCAGGCTGCACATGCTGTGCCAGCCTCGTGCCGTTGTCATGGGCCGCCTCTCCTCCCACACGTCTGTCCGGTGGTCATAGCACAGCAGGTTCTTGCGGTACGGGCCAATCTGGTAGTCATGGCCCCCTGAGATGTACACGAAGTCTTTGTAGATGGTGCCTGCGTGGCCATAGGTGAACCTGCAGAGAGGCCAGAGAACAAAAGAGCTCAGGGCAGAGCCCGGCCTTATCCTTGTGAGGAGGGGACTTGGGCTCTCTGCTAATGGGGTACAGCTTCTCAGGTCATGAGGGCTGAAGGAGAAAACAGCAGGCAAAACATGGACACCTTACAGATCTGGTCTGTCGATGGACAAAGGCACAGAATGCAGGTGAACAAGTGGCCCCTGCAGCAGGGAGGGTGCGTGGGAGCACTCTACTTTCTATGCAGTTTTCTCTAAGTTTGACTCCTCTAAATAAGGGTCTAAAACAATGTCAGAGAGGGCGGGCAAGAAGGCTCAGTGGACAAAGGTGATTGCTGTCAAGCCTGACAACCTGAGTTTGATCCCTAGGACCAATAGGGTGGAAAAAGAAGGTCAACTCCTGTAAATTGTCTTCTGTTCACCCTGTGTGTGCTGTGGGACCTGCATGAGTACATGCATGTACGCACGTATGTGCACGCGCGAGCACACACACACACACACACACAAAGTGAATGGAAAAAATAAAAAACTCACAAAACGCAAAAACAAAGTCTAGGAGCAAAGACATGAAACCTTCTGTCTTGTGGTTTAGATGGCAATCAGGCCTAGAGAGGCTGGAGGTCACAGGAAGAGCCCAGGGCAGGCGGAAGAGATGGCTCAGGTGGGGTTTGTGCAGGTGTACTGTGCCAATGAGGCGATAACTGGGGAAGGCTGGATAGGAAACTCATGCATGTGGGTTGTGCACACACTGCCGATGATGACATCATGGATTGTGTTCACACCAACTGAAGGCACAGAAGTTCTCCTTAGCAATAACCCCACTCCCACATCATCATCCCAAGACAGTGATGGTGGTGGCACCTGCTCTTAGCATGACTACCAGCTTCATATTGCCTGATAAATGGAGATATGGTGCTTTCTCAGGGAGCCCATCAAGAGGCAATCATTTACAACATTATCCACCTACTCACTGTTACTCTCTTGCTACCTCTCCACTCACCAGGTTGCTATGGATACCTAGGATCTAGTCAAAGTGATACAGAGTGTCACCTGCTCACCAACAGTGTCCAGGAATTGCCCCCTGGTTTCTGGAATCCATATTTATTTATTTGAGACAAAGTCTCACTATATAGCCTAGCAAGGCCTCAAATTCAATCCCCTGCCTCAGCTTCCTGGGTGCGGGGATTATAGGTGTGAGCCCCTATGCCAGGCTCAACTGTGACTTTAAAACACAGATTCACTTCAACCCCACATTCCCTGCTAACTGTGGGGGACCACATCCCCAAGATACTCTCCCATAGCCAGGATGGTTCAGAGTCTGGGTTTAGGTGTAGCATAGTAGTGGTAGACAGATGTGTACAGGTTTGGCAGACCCACAACACAACCCACAGTCAGTGACCCCACACCCAACTGCATGTCTGGGGTCTGGGGCACTTTCTGCTAGCTGAAGGCCACACGAGAATGTCACAGAGATGCTGTCTGACTCCCCAGGCTGTGTGGTGAGTAACTAAAACACAGGTGGGGTGAGGTCAGTGCCCCTTTGACTTCCTGCCTACACCCAGCCTGGCCTTCTGGTAGGGGACTTACCATACCAACTCAACACTCACTCTCTGAAGCACAGAGGTCCAGTCCACTTGTAAAATGGAGGATGCTTCTCTTAAGCTGTAACCACCCTCAGCCCCTCACGGCCTACCCCATTATAGAAAAACCAAGGCATAATGAAAACAGAAAGCAAGACTAAACTTTATCCTGTGACAATATCACCTTCCAGCAGTCGGCCTCAAGCCCTCATCACCTTGGCAAGCCAGCCACATAAGTCCAGGAGTTGGTCTTGGGGCTGTAGGTCTCTACAGAAGATAGGGCTCCATTCTCATTCCGGCCACCAACAGCCACCAGCATGTCTTCAATGGAGGCCAGGTAGAAATCCACACGGCGCTGGTTCATGGACGCCACCTGTGGGGGTAAGACACCTGAAGCTTCCCTTCCCAAGCCCTAGCACCGCACCGTGTTCCTCAACTGTGTCCACAGAGTCAATGGCCCAGGAGGGCCAGACAGTGGCCAAATGAGCTAGGGAGAGGGGCCTGGACTTAAGAAAAATGGGGCACTACTGGTGGGAATTCTGAGAACCCTGATGCTTCCATCAGTCAATCAAATCCTCAAGAGGTGATGGGGCACATCTCCTGAAACTGGTTTGGCCACATGGTCAATTTTGTGGACTGGCATTATGCAAGAAATTAATGACTTTCTAAAATTAGAATCCCCCCACCAAAAAAAAACCAGTCTCTGCTCTTCTGACTTCCTCAGACACCAGGCATGCATATGGTGCTCACATGTACATTCGAGCATAACACTCATATACATAGTATCAAATAAATAAATCTACATAAAATTTAAAATTTTAAACAAAACTAGTTTTCCCTTCTTCCTCATCAGGGATTTCAGTGTGCTGAGCAATACACTACCACTGAAGCACAATCCGGCTGAATTTTTTTTTTTTAAATCAATGCTGATCCACTGGTCACCATCCATGTTATCAGAACAGAAAGTGTCTGTGGTGGTTTGAAAGAAAATGGCCCCCAAGGGGGTGGCACAGCTGGGAGGTGTGGCCTTGTTGGAGTGGGTGTGGACTAGTTGGAGGAAGTGTGTCTCTGTAGAGGGCGGCTTTGAAGGTTTTTTTGCTTACTCTTAGCTCAGTGTTGCCTGGTATTGGTGCGCACGCCTTTAATCCCTGTTCTTGGGAGGCAGAGACAGGTGGATATCTGTGAGTTTGAGGCCAGCCTGGTCTACAGAGCTGTCTCCAAAGCAATACAGAGACATCCTGTCTCAAAAAGTCAAACCAAACAAACAAAAAACCCAACCAACTTCATTCAGTGTCATGGTCTCTTTCCTGCAAGATGTAGGATTCTTAGCTACTACTCCAGCACCATGTCTGCCTGCATGCTGCCATGTCCCACCATGATGATAATGGACTGAACCTCTGAAATAATTTCTTTATAAGAGTTGCAATGGCCATGGTGTTTCTTCACAGCAATAGAAATTCTAGCTAAAAAGCTGATACCAGGGACTGTGGATTAGAAAAGCATGTTTTACTGCTGCTTAATAGGCCATACTAGTAGGAGAGTCAAAGACAGTGGTGCTGAGTGTTATTTGATAACTGTTGGGGCCTCATTTAAGAGGTTTCAGAGAAGAATTTTAGTACATTGCCTAGAGATTGTTCTTGTGATAGTCTGGTGAAGAAAGTGGCTGCTTTTTGCCCTTGTCTGACAAGTCTGCCTAAGGCAAAAGTAAGACTTTTAAATTGGGGCTGGAGAGATGGCTCAGCTGTTAAGAGCACTAGCTGTTCTTCCAAAGGACCTGGATTCAATTCCCAGCACCCACGTGGATCACAACTGTCTGGAACTCCAGTTCCAAAGGATCTTGATACCGCCACACTAATGCACATAAAATGTTTTAAAAAGAGCTTTAGATTGATTCAGTTGGCAGAGGAAATCTTAAAAGTCTAGTGTAGACTCTGCTGTGTGGTTATTAGTGGTAACTCTAATGAAGATTTATAATGAAAAGGAGCAAGCTGAACAGGGTAAATTACAAAATGTAAATTTTGAAGAGAAAAAGAGCACTAGACAGTGGAATGGAGCTAAATCCTATATTCAAGGAGCTAAGAATGTTTGAGGCCAGCCTTGTCTACAGAATAAGTTTCTGGATAGCCAAGCTTAGGCAATGAAAAACAGAAAGCTGGTGAAGATGTAATTGAACAAGATGGGCATGTTCCAGCCCCAGCAAGCAGCACACATTGGCAGCTTCAGTCACATGGTTCTATCTTTAGAGTTAAGGATAGAAGGGGTTATAGAACAAAGCTGCTGAGGCCAGACATGTGTCAGGAGTCTGTCTGAATGGAGGCCTAGAGAGGCCATTGTGTGAAGTTGTTAAGCTGAAGCCTGGACTGATGGAGGATGTCCTTCTGTATACATGTTTCTCTTATTGGTTGATGAATAAAACACTGTCTGGCCAATAGAGGCAGGAAGAAGGCGGGACTAGGAGATTAGAGTTCTGGGAAAGACAGAGCTAGCCAATAAGAAGCCCTAACAATCTACCAACAGTTATATAATTAATATAGCATCTTGTGTGCTTATTTGGGGTTGAAGCGGTGGTGGGACCGATAGGCCAAGTAACTTCAGCAACACTGGATTGCCTTAGAGGTGTTGGAGATGCTAGAGTCATGGATACCTGCTGAGGGGAGCTGCTAACAGGGAGTGGCACTGAGAGAGAGAGAAGCGTGTTGCAGTCAACAAAGCTGAATGGAGTTGGAGATCTGAAGAGCTCTTTGACATCAGACATGGAGATGAAGATTTTGGAGTTTGTCCAGCTGGTTTTCAGTCTTGCTTTAGTCTAGTATTTCCTCCCCCTACATTTTGGAATAGTAATATATATTCTGTGCCATTATGTATTGGAAATATGTGCTCTAGTTTTTTATTTTAATTTTTATAGGGGATTACAGGTAAGAGAGTGCCATGAGACTCAGAAGAGACTTTGGACTTTGAAACAAGTTTGGGACTGTTATAGACTACAGAGACTTTTGAAATTGGACTGAAGTAAAAAGTAAATTAAAAAATTTAAAATGTGTTATTATTGTGTATATGTGTATGTGGGGGGCATGCATGTGATGACATGTGTAGAGGTCAGAGGGCAACTTTGTGGAGTTGATTCTCTTCTAAGCCATCTTGCTGGCTCAGGTTAGAGGTTATTTTTAGGTTATTTTATTTCATTTTATTTTGATTTTTCAAGACAGGGTTTCTCTATGTAGTCTTGGCTGTCCTAGAACTCAATCTGCAGGCCAGGCTGGTCTCAAATTCACAGAGATCTGTCTGCTTCTGCCTCCAAAGTGCTAGGATTTAAGGAGTGTACCACTACCACCTGGCCATGTTAGAGTTTTAACCATAGAATTGAAAGGCCATCTGGAATCCATTTGGACTTATTTTTGCAACAAGGTCTTCACCTATGGCCCAGGCTGACCTGGAATCACCATGTAGCACAAACTGTCTTCAGACTTGTGGCAATCCTCCTGCTTCAGCCTCCTAAATCCTGGGATTACAGGTGTGAGCCACCAAGCTTGGGTGATGTTAAATTCAGCAAACCCTGAGGCAATCGGTCACACGGAGGTGTGAACATAAAGATGGATTTCAGTGGGTGGCAGTCTGGAGAGGTGACCGTAGAAGGGGACAGTTCATTTCAGCCATACATATGCCAATCAGCTCAGGCTAACTTCCTCTTAGGCTTACAATGCCACAAGCATATCCAGAGTGGAATGTGAAGCTTGGAGAGGACAAGAGCCAGCTTGAAACTCCTGAGCATTTGCTAGGAGTTTGAGAATGGCCCCCACAGGCTCACAAAGTTCCCAGCTGGAGAACTGCTTGGGGAAGATTAGGAGGTGTGGCCTTTTTTGGAGGAGTGAGCTTTGGGGTCCCAAAAGTCCATGCCAGGCCCAGTCTCTCTACCTGCTGTCTGTGGATCAAAATGTAAAGCTCTCAGCTACTGCTCTAGCACTATGCCCATCTCCATTTGGCCAAGATGATAATGAACTAACCCTCTGAAACTGTAAGTAAGCCTCCAATCAAATGCTTTCTTTAAAATTTATCTATTTTATATCACATGTATGGGTAATTTGCCTGCATGTATGCATGTGTATGCCTTTTGCTCATGGAGGTCAGAAGACCTCAGATCCCCTGGTACTGGAGTTGAGGATGTTCATGAGCAACTTCTAAGTACTGGGAACTGAACTCTGGTCCTCTGCAAGAGCAACAAGTGCTCTTAACCTACCAAGCCATTTCTCTAGCCCTAAATGCTTTCTTTTCTAAGAGTTGCCTTGGTCTCTTCCTGGCAACAGGACAGTAACTAATACACTCTGCTAGGGTGCACTAAAAGGGCTGAGGTGCGGGCTCCACACTGGCCTAGGTCACATGGGATTTTGTGGCTTCCTGAACATTACTCCCCAAACCTCTCCACAAGAGAAGCCCAGCAGAGGCTCTAAGGCATGGGGCCTTGACTGAGCCCTGTCATGGACACTGACACTTAATATCTGTTTGTTACAATTAGATAAGATTGAAAATGTGCACTGGCTGCATTTCAAGCTCTCAATGGCCACATAGGGCCAGTGGCCACTGTGCTGGACACAGGACAGACACAGAATGCTCCCAACAGGGCAGAAAGTTCCATCAAACAATGCTGCTTTGGGCAACAGCCAGTCCTTCAGATGGTGGTTGCTTGGCCTTCCTTCATCCCTACCCTGGTCTAAGTATGGGGAGGGCATCAATGATATGGCCCATCACTTTATAGTCACAACTCTCTCAGAAGCAGGGCGGTCATCAAGGCCCCCAAACAGGAGGTGAGGTTAGGGAGCGGCAAAGAGGGAGGCCTCAAGAGTAATGAATTAATTTGCTTTAATCTCACCTTGATCCACTGTTTACGGCGGGGGTCATACCTATAAAGAAGGTTGGAGGCCGCATCCCCTCCGTTGTCTCTTGAGAAGCTGCCACCAGCAATGAAGATGAAGCCCCCCAGCACAGCAACGCAGTGGTGGCTCCGGCGGGCTGGCAGGGATGTCTCCTTCACCCACTGTTCATTCTTAGCGTCTAGGTAGCAGGTGTCATCACTCAACTCCAGACACCGCTCAGAGACCTCGCCACCCACGAAGAGCAAGCACTCATCAGAGCGCAGCACCGTTCGCTTCGTCTGCAGGACAGGCTGTGCCACCAGGCTGTTGTGGTAGTGCAAGGCTTCTTCTAAGAAGCCCTCGCAGTTGGCCTCACTGGGCAACAGTGAGCACATGGCCAGTTTCACACGCTGGAGCAGGATGTCCTCAGGGAAGAGGGGGAAGCGGATATTTTCTAGTACACGGCAGGTGTGTACCTCACGTTCTGGCTGCTGAGTGAGCCACTGCAGAGCTGCCTGCAGCAGGTCATACTCCCACTGGTGTTGGATCTGGCCACTGCTCAGGTAGACGCACAGCTTCTGCACAGAGATGGTCTGCAGGAAGTCAGGCGTGAAGGACAGTGTGCTGAAATGGCTCAGCACAAAGCTGTCAATGAAGGTGTCTAGCCGCTTGAGGCTATAGATGGAGGCCAGCTCCTGCAGGTATAGGTAGTTGTCCTCACTCACCTCCTGCTCCAGGTACTCGCAGCAGAAGTCCACCACTGTCCAGATCTGCAGCAGATGCGCTGTTTCCAGGATGTAGTCAATGTTGTTGCCATCTAGTTCCAGCTCACTGCTGTAGAGGAAGTCCACCACAGCCTTGAGCCCAACATAGGAGGCACCCACCAGCTCTACCTCCTTCTGGAAGGCCTCACGCATGCCCAGCGTGAACATGGAGTTGAAGTAGTCGCTGCACACAGCCAGAAGGTTGCGGTGGGCAGGCACTTGCTGTTCTTCCACCACTAGGACCACATCACAGAAGAGACCTTGCAGCCGTTGCTCATTCAGCCGTTGCAGCACTGTGGTGGAATGGTCAGCCCAGTGGTACACCTGCACAAGAAGGCGCATCAGGAGAGAAAGCACAGGACTGCTGTCCATGGCCTGCAGGGACCACAGTCAGCCCAGAGGTAACAGCGATTGTTATAAGATGGAATAAGAGCCATGGAAGTAAACCCCAGAACATCACAGGTGCTTCTGAGAGCATGTGTTCTCTTCCTTCTTGCCCTCCCTCCTGAAATGTTTTAAAAATTTGGGTGGGTGTGGTGACACCTGTCTATAATCTTAGCACTTAGAGGCAGAGGCAGGAGGACCTCTGTGAGGTCAAGGCCAGTCCTGGTCTTCCTAGAAAGTTCCAGGCCAGCCAGGATTCCACACAAAGACATTGTCTTCAATAGAATAAAAACAGAATAAAATATTTATTAGCACGTGTACATGTACCACAGTGTGAGTGTGAGAGGACAGTTTTTCTTCCATCTCGTACGTTCTGCGCAGGGAGATCAAGTTGTCTGTCGACTTGAGCAGCAAGTGACTTTACATGTTGAGTCATCTAGCCAGCCCCACTATGTATAATTCCTAGAAATTGTCTGCTTGGCAGATCTCTGTGAGTTTGAGGCCAGCCTGCTCTACAGAGTTAGTTCAGAACAGTCAGGGCTACATAGAAAACTCCTGTCTTGAAAAAGCAAAAGCAAAAACAACAAAAGAAACTGTGTGCTTTTTGTCTTCCTCCTTTATAAATGTTTATAAATGTCTTCCCATCAGGAAAGTGGTGCTGCCCCACACACACACTTAAAATCAGATGGACCAAAGTTAGAACTCTAGTTCTGCATCCTGCTGGCTGTGTGGTCTCAGGTTAGCCATGGACCTACTTCCTCATCTGACAAGATGAGCATGTTTATCATTTAGATGTAGGCAATCAATGGGACAGCCCAGCAGACACTTGAGAAATGTAGCCTACTGTACTTAAGGCTCTGAGAACTAAACTCTCCCCACCCCATGTCCTCTGCTCAGTTTCAGGAGCTCACAGCCTATCTGATGCACATTTTCATTCTTAGATTCTGGGCTGAGAACCCTGGGACACAACTGTAGAAATGCTGCCCTTCTCAGGCCAGCCATTCTTAGTTGGTGTTCCTTGAATGGGCCAGCTATTTGTTTTTAGTGTTTTTAGTCTATCTTCCTTGTGTTTTCTTCCTGTCCTCCTCCCTTTCTCCCCTTCTCCTCTTCCTGTCTTGTGGACAGCTATGACGCCCAGCCCTTCCCCCCTCTTGTGATGTAGCTGAGGGTGATCTTTAATTTCTGATCCGTTTGCCTCACTTCCTGAGTGCTAGGATTACAGGTGTCTCACTATGCCCTGTATGTACAATGTGGGGACTGAACCCAGGATTTCATGCATTCCAGGCCAGTCAAGCATTCTTCCAACTGAGCTCCATCACCAACCCTTGCATTTCTTTCTTTTTTTCTTGCTTTTAAAAATGGTATTGTTATTAATTTATTTATTTAGTTTCTCTTGGGGGGGGGGGTAGTACGTGTATGCCACTGTTTACATTGTAAAGGTCCGAGGATAACTTGCATGAGGTGGCTCCCTCCTTTCACACATGAATCCCGGGATTTGAACTCAGTTTGTCAGGTTTGGTTGCAAATGCCTTTACCTGCTGAGCCATCTCACCAGCCTTATTTTGTTTTTGTTGTTTTTTGTTTTTTCCTAAGACAGGGTCTCTCCATATCCCTGGCTGTCCTAGAACTCACTCTATACACCAGGCTGGCTTCAAACTCAGACATTCACCTATCTCTGCTGGAGGTAAAAGTGTGTGTCACCCCTCCCCCCCCCTCTCTCTCACACACACACACAGGTTGTTTTCTGAGAGAGGATTTTGTACAGGCCAGACTGGTACTTGTTATATAGGCAGGGCTGGCCCTAAACTCATGGTTGTCTTCTTGCCTTAGCCTTCAAGTGCTGAGATTACAGATGTACACCCTGCCCATCTGGGCAATGGCCAGTCTCCCTGAACTCTTTCTAATGAAACCAACCTGGTATGAGCTGGTGGCCAGAATCTAGGGAGTCCATACTTGTTCATTCTTGGGGTCCCAGGGAGTTGGACACAAATAGGGAAGAGGTCCCTGGGGTCTTAATATCAGGAGAATGAGTCCTACTTTAAGGTCAGAGGCTGGGCTCTCCATGAGACTCATATTAGAGTTGGTAAACCAATGAAGGTAGAAGTCCCATGGTTCTTTCGTTCCATTCCTCATGGTGATATGTAGAGTAGAGGGGGTTATGCAGGAGCTCCTCTGCAAACCCACATGTGAACAGATGCCAGAAGCAGTCAGAATCGATACCATGGGTGGGGAGGGATTACTCATGTACCTTTGAAGATTCGCTGATTTTGTAGGGCCGAGACACTCGCATCTGCTTGCCTGCCTCCATTGTGATTTCAGACCTACAATGAGAACAGCATTCCTGAGCATGCAGCATTAACTCCAGGTTGGTTATTAGCTGCAGGCCCTGCTGGCAGACACCATTGTCAGCAAATGAAGAAATCATACCATGAAGGAGAGTAAGAGAGAACAAGATACTGTGTGGAAAGTCAGGATGGCGTAACTGCTTAGTGTAAGAACTGAGTTTACAGAGGGAATTGAAGGAATGGAAACAGAGCCCTCAATGTCAAGAGCAGACTACATTACTCTGAAGGGTGTCTCAAGTCCTGGTGCATAGGATGGCACACAGTGTAAAGTCGAGGTGCTGTTTTTTAAAATAAGTTGTTTTATTTGGGACCTGTTAGGAAGGAAATAGGCCAGTTGCTCTTTTCAGGACCTTGGGTATCTGTGTGGGTATCAGAGTTCCTCAAACTCTGAGTCCATTTTATGGTTTTGGCTGGAAGCAAGGGGGCAACTTCCTTTACTTACATTTAATTCACGTCCCTTTAGCGTCTAAAGTCTGGCACCTCATAGCATTTAGTCTGTGTCCCAAGCTCATACTTTTTCCCCTTAACTTTTTAAAATGTATTTATTTCATGAAAGACTGGGAGAGTTAAATTCTTTTTTTCATCATATGGGACCTAGGGACTGAACTCAGGTTGTCAGGCTTGGTGGCAAACACCTTTACACTGGGCCATCTCAACGGTTCAACACCCATTTTTTGATGTTTAATCTAAACTCTACCTTTTGGTTATGGCAGAATTTTCTTTCTTTTCTTTCGGTTTTTGGAGACAGGGTTTCTCTGTACTGATTTGGAGTGCTGGGATTAAAGGCATAGACTATATCATGGACCCAAGCTAAGGGACTTCCACTTGCTACTTCATTTAACTCCTGCCATACATTAGTCCAGCTAATGTCCCATTTTACAGATGAAGACATTTAAAACTGTCATAATGCTAGTTAATGTCTGACCACCAAACCTGGGCCCTCCACCTTAGTATAGGAAACAAGGCTCAGACTTGACCAGGGTCACACTTTCAAATTCTCAAGAGTGAAGGGTGAAAGGCAGTTGTGACTAATAGGCACAAACTCTGCTTTGGGAACTGTCCTCAGGGTTTCTGTGCGTCTTTATTAATCTTCCGTATAACCCCATGAGACCATCCCTAGACTGTCCTTGATTTTAAAAAAGAGGTAACCATAGAGGTAAGAAATAAACCACACAGCATCCCACAGTTAGGAGGATGTGGCAGGGCTGGCATGAAGACCCAAGAGGTCTCTCTGTCACTCTGTGCTCCAAAGCTGTACTGTTGAGTTGTAATATGGGGAAGAATTCACAAACATGAGCAGTCCTGCTGTGCTGACCTTTCAGATCAAATCTACAGATGTCACACATGATGTTTCTACCTGCATTAAAATGCCAAGCAACTTGTGAATACCTGGGAACCAGGCTTTGGGGGACTTGGAAGACTAGGAGGGCACTGGCAGGGGACACACAGTTAGGAATAAACCTGTTGGGTTGAACATAATTTGACTCAGAAGTTCAGCTCAGCTTGCTTCCCCAACTGTGGTCAGGAACATTCTGCATACTTGGAGTCTACTGCAACTCCCCGCCCCTATTTGTTGGGGGCAGGGGCAGAGGGTAATCAGGGAGAGGCAAGGGGATATACTGACAAAGGGACCATTACAAACTGCGCAGAATTAACACCTGCAACTTCCCTACCCTCAACCCCTATGAAATAAGCTTACCCCAAAGGCACCCACAGAGAACCCAACTTCCATCCATCCTTTGGGAAGGCTGGGAAGGTGCAGCTGCTTGATGGTCTAATTAATAGCCTGTAAAGATGAGTCTGTCTTTGCCAGTCTCACTACTTTACCTCATTTTCCTTACAAAACCAACTTGGGCATAACACATATACTGGGATTGGGGTTCCAAGAAGAAGTTTTCCCCAGTTCTGCTGAGTCCACAAGAATCATTTTGTTACCTATTGAACAAAGAGTCCTTGCTAAACAGAACAATGTGATAAGAAGTCATGGTTAATGAGATAAAAGGGGAGAGAGGAGACTCTAGTGTTCCCAAGGAGGAAGAAATTCTGTTCGACTCTCTCTGGGAAAGAAGAGACAAGTGGATCTTTTGGAGAAAACTAATAAGTTCGTGTCTAAGCTGTACCCATACAGAAACTCTCTGACTGCCCCCTGGTTGCTGGAGGCCCAGAGAGAAAGGGAGCAGTCCAGCCATCAAACGGCATCTACTTAACTGCATACCCCTGACTCCCTCGCTTCACCTTGGCCGGCTGAGACTGGGCACCATTGTTCCCACAGTGAGAAAACCACACCGTGGCTGGGCAGGTATCTGAGGGGCTCGCCCAAGGTCACAGAGAGGAAAACATAAATATCCTCTCTGCCTATCTACTTAAGGCGGCCAGCCAGGTCTCTGGAACCTCACAGTCTGGGAGCGTTCTTTTCTAGGCCAAGGGATCCAGAGAGAGCGTGCCAGTGCCGGGCTTGTCTTAGTCTCTGGGGCCGTGTCTGTGGCTCCTAGACGCGTCCTGGGCTCCGAGCAAGCAGGTGAGGTAAAGATGCAGAGCCCCCGCCCGGGGTCCCCGGGATCCAGCACTCACCGTCCCGGATCCCGCCCGGCAGGCGCTGAAGCGCTGAGGGAGGCGTGGGTCGCACTTGGGCACCCGCGGCCCGAATCGCACCCGCTTGCAAACCGCTACCAGAGCAGCATGAGCTGCAGGGATACAGGGCCAGCCCGAAACACAGCCATCCCTCTGCAAGGAAGTGCGAGCCCGTACAGTCAATGGCGGCCGAGGGGCGGAGCAGGAAGGCGGGGTCTGCAGGGTGGAGGGCGGAGCGACGTCTTAGGGACGGGTCTGCTGGAAGCTAACAGGCGGGAGGGCGGAGCGTAGTTTGGGGGCGGGGCCTGAGGAGGGCGGACCGCAGTATTCGGGGCGGGACCTGTGGGCGGGAAGGTGCTGAGCCAGCAAGGGTCTGGAAGAGGCACCCAAGGTTTCTTACTATTGATTTTGCTCAGCTGTCCCCCAGGCTGGCCAGGCATGTTCCGCAGAAACGTTCTGGCTACCACATCTTGGGCACCCGAACACGAGGTGGTGTGGGACAGACCTAAGGGCGGGTCAGGGAGCTCAGGGATAGCTGTACCTTGCCTACTCTGAAAAGAGACCTTTGTTGAACTCCTCTCTTTTTCTTTTTTTGTGGTATTTCAAGAAAGGGTTTCTCTGTGGCTTTGGAGGCTGTCCTGGAACTAGTTCTTGTAGATCAAGTTGGTCTAGAACTCACAGATATCCACCTGCCTCTGCCTTCCCAGTGCTGGGGTTAAATGTGTGGTGCCACCACTGGGCTATTGACCTCTCCTAGTAGCTACACTCCCTGCATTCAGGGTTCTGCTTTCTGCTTCTTCTTATTTTTTATCCTAATCTATTACTATTACTGGAGAAAAGGTTTCTATTTTTGTTTCCACAAAAAATAAAAAGCTGTAGATTCCTAACAGAGTAATGTGGTTTGATCAAGCCAGACCCCCTGAAACAGAGTTCCTGGTGATCCAATATTCAAAACAGCTTGAACAAGGCAGCCTTTCAGGCTTTCATCTTCTTAGAATCCCCCATGACAGTGCCTCCTACCAGCAGGAAGCAGTTTGGAAAGAAACGACGCCCAAATTCCCAAATATTGTTTATAAATGTTTGTTTTCATTTAAATGGGGTTGGTTATAAATGGTTAATGACCACAACCAATCTCTTTTTAAAGGTAAAAAGGGAATTATGGTATAGATATGAATACCATATCTTTGTGTTAGAATGGATTTTCATTTATTGATACAAATTTAAGGTCAAGTTTGTGATAAGTATATTTCTCCTCTTGTTTAAGTATTGTGTTTATATAGCTCATTTAAAAATATAATGTATAATTTAATACAGATTTTAGATAGTTATCTATAATAGTCAAAACTTATAGCTAGGTGAGTTAGGTTTTCTAGATATGCAGATATGTATTTGAGATAGATAGGCATTCTTCAAACTTTTCAAAGACCTACAGAATATGGCATTTAAAATGGTTTAGGGTTTTTCTTGACAATGAGTCATAACTGCTCCTGGCAACACCACTGCGTCAGAAAGGAAGATGGACATCAAAAAAAAAAAAACAAACAAACAAACAAACAAACAAACAAAAAAACAAAAAAACGCATTATGGAGTTTGCTTTCAATATGGCAAGACTAGTCATTTGGACAAGATACTGTTCTTTTCAGGACTATTTGACTTTATGAGGTATAAACTGGGCATGCAGGACCCACAGAAAAGTGACTGCTGATACAAGATGGGCATTACTATAGGGTTCCTGCTTCATGGAAGAGCCTGCCAGACATTCTGCAGGACACAGAGAAAAGTGACTGGCAAACTGCCAATACAGGTGGACAGTTTAGTTTCCTCCTTTGCTGAGGAGTGTGCTAGACACACTATGGCCTATGGGCTGAAGATGGAAGATTACAGAAGAACTTTGGGTGACTGACAAGGCAAGTTGTCTCTGTCATTTCTAGAGTTTATATATTATCCTTCTGTGATCTTTGAAGGAGTTGAAGACAAATAGTTATGGTTATAGTTTTCCTTAGTTAGGATTTCAGATAAGTTACTTATAAGACTTTAGACTCACAAAGATAGGATAGATGGTAGATTAAATGTTAATGGACTAAATATTGTTAACTGTGATTCTTATTTGATAACTGCTGTGTTATATATTTTGCTTTGTTAAGGTTAGAACCCTTCTTTTTATTTTAGACAGAAAAGAGGAGATGATGGGAGATGTCATTCTGTAAATATGTTTCTCATACTGGTTAATGAATAAAGCACTGTTGGCCAATAGGAAAGCAAGAGAGGAGGGACTAGGAGACAAGGAGGAAAGAGGAAGTAGTAGGGAGGAGTCAAGATGGAAGACGGAGAGAGCAGAATGCCTGCGGCCTCTCTCTCCTGTAAGATAAGACCACGTGGAGATTAGTAGAAATGGGATAATAATTAAGACAGAGCTAGCCGATAAGAAACTAGTACCTGGCCAACAGCATTATATCAAATACAGAGTTTCTCTGTGTGTTATTTGGGGCTGGTGTAGCGGCGGGACAAGACCAGTGGTGGGCAGAAAAACCTTTCTCCTACAGTTCTTTTCTTTCTTTTACTATTTTCTGTTTGTTTTCTCTTTCTTTTTTGAGTCCCAAGACCTCAACCATCATGGCCCTCGACATTGCCCCACTTGGCTCATCATATTTTTGTTGTTGTCTTTTGTTTTTCCAGACAGAGTTTCTCTGTGTTGCTTTGGAGCCTGTCTTGGAACTAGCTCTGTAGATCAGACTGGCCTCGAACTCACAAAGATCTGACTGCCTCTGCCTCCTGAGTGTGGGGATTAAAGGCATGCTCCACAAACACCTGGCAGCTCATCATATTTTACATAATTCTTTCCTTCCTTTTCTTCCCTTCCTTCCTCCTTTATCTTTCTGTTTCTTTTCCACTTGAAGCCCTCCGGCTTCTGGACTCCCCTGGCAGGTAGGTACATGGCCTCTCAGTAAATATTTGTTGAGCTGAGATCATCATTAATTCTTTTATCAATTATCAAACTTCACTCCAGGTATAGTCTGGAAGAATCTTGAAGAGGTTTCAATACGTGAAAGAAGCTAGTCACAAAACGACACTCCCAGCTGCATTTGGTGGAACACACAGCTGTCATTCTTGGAGACTAAAGCAGGAAGATAAAAGAGTTCAAGGACTACATAGGGAGGCCTTGTCTCAAAAGAGCAAACTGCTTGAGAACAAAAGACATAAGTAAAATGTTCAAACAGGAAAAGGGGAAAGTCAGGAAGTACAGTGGAGGATGCCAAGGGTGGGGTAGTTGGGACAGCTAACAAAGGAAAATTAGGGGCTTTTTTGGGGATGATAAAATAGTTTTTTAAATGAGAATATTATTAGTTTTGTACCTGTGTGAGTATAAATTTAAGTCCACCTATTCTCTATCAAGATTTAGCTAGAATAGGAGGAGAGTGGGGGGGGGGGGAACTGGGATTGGAATGTAAAAAAATAAATTAATAAAAAAAAGATTTAGTTAGAGATTTTCTTAAAGGTCTATCCAGCTCACTTTGAACTCCACTCTACTGCCTCTTTAGCTTGCTGTTATAGACAACCTAACTAAGACTATTTTAATAACCTGTAACTTCACATCCATACCTGAGGTGCTGGGTTTGGAAAGCCAAAGTAGAAGATGCAAAGCCATGAGGTGAGGGACCGTAGTTAGGCCTTGGACAGACCTGGAAATACACAGATGACCTGGACCAGGAAAGCTTTCCTGGCCTCATCCTATCTCCCTAGAAGCATGGAGTGAACAGATTTCCATTTTCTGCCTTTTAAAAGCATTCTGCCTCAATTACAAAAATAGTGAATGCCAGCTGACCATGGTGGATCACACTTGTAATCCTAGCACTCAGGAAGCAGAGGCGCGAGGATCATCACAAACTTGAGGTAGGACCTTGTTATGTGGCCAGGGTTGGCTAGAACTCCTGGTCCTTCTGCCTCAGCCTCCTAAGTGCTGGGATTACATGATTTCTACACAATAATAATGCCAGCACCTGCAGTTTACTAAGCCCTAGACATTGCTCTAAACTCTGCATGCACAGGAAATCATTTGGTCTCCTTGACCCTGGCAGGAAGGCCTCCTTCCCTTTCTGTTTACAGGAAGGTGAGGCCTGGAGAAGGAAAGTCCCTTACCTGAGGTCACCCACCTTTCAGAAACAGAGCTCTGATGCCTGGTAGTCTGTCATTCTCCAGAGCAGGCAGCCTAGCCTGACCCCTGCTAGCACAGTGCCTCATAGTGACACATCCTCCCCACAGAGAGCTCGGAAAACAGACAAGAGCAAGAAAGGAGAAAGCATCAGCCACCAAGAACAATGGCTTTAAGCATTTAAGCACACATGGCCCACCAGGTGTGAAGGTGCCCCCTTTAAATCCTAGCTTTTTGGGAGGGAGAGGTAGGGTCATTGCTATAAGTTTGAGGCCAGCCTGCTCTACACGGTGAGTTCTAGGACAGCCAGGGCTACAAAGAGTCCCTGTCTGAAAACAAACAAACAAACAAACAAACAAAAAACCAAACCAAAACAAAAAACCAAAAACAACACTTTCCAAAGTCTTTCCCATTGTGTATTCCCTGTGCATCTATGCAAATAAGATCACGTGACTTGGGCTTTTTGGTGGCTTTTCCTCTTTTTTGCTAACATGAGTTCTTCTCATGTCAGTAGAGTCTCTCCTGTAGCCTGATCCTAATGGAAGTGTCTGGTTCTGCAGTGCAGATTTTGCACTGGGCATCCTCCATGGTGGATATGCAGCTAACATCCCTGTTATAAATGACATGGAGGTGAATACTACTTGCCCTTTCTTGTGTACCTTCCCAAAAGGAAGATCTTAGTGGATACTCTTGACAGATGCTCCACACTGTCACTTCAGAGATGCAGCATGAATCTGTGGCACAAAACAGGACAAAGCCTTTCCTTGCTTTTGTAGTCTGCTCCAGACCAATCGCAGGGGTGTGTGTGTGTGTGTGTGTGTGTGTTTTGAGACAGGTTTCTTTGGCTGTCCTGGAATGCAATATGTAGACAAGGCTGGCCCCGAACTAACAGAGATCCACCTGCCTCTGCTTCCCAAGTGTCATCTTCAATTAGTCAAGATTTATATAAAAGTATAAATTCAGATTTTCACCC